CTTAACTAACCAAATCACTTTATACTTGATCAAAGAGGCCAGATGTAGAGTATATTTACCACTTTTTAGGGATTTTCCGGTGAGTTTTCTTGACTCGTTAGCTTCAATTTTGTTGTGACGATGATACCTTGCTCTGATGATGTTCTTCATGTGACGAACGAAAGCATAGCACCTTTTTACCGAAATCGAAGGAGATAACTTCGGAAACAGCGTCAGCTTGAATGTTCCCGTGAAGCCAATCGACAGCTGGTCAAGTGGAATCGGCCTTCGTCTTCTGGTGGAACCGACCTTCGAATCTCTTCACTCAACACTTTTACTCGAAATGAAAGTAAGCTCAACAATTATGAAACAAGAGACTCCTCGAAACCCAACTTCTTTTCGCATATATCCAAAGAACAGTCCTATTTCACCGAATGCGACACAGGATGACTGAAAATCTTATTTGAGGCTATTTTAATCGGACCTGTGTTCATTTTATTTCGTTGAAGTTGATGAAAGACTGTTAGTAGAATTTTTCTACAATCATGTTTCCAATTAATTTCTCATTGCCTTGCCTACCAAAATGTATTCTCATTTAGTCGGGAGTGGACTTCATTTAGTTCTCACCGACGCCACCAGTGGGACTCGAATCCTGGTTGTGTGGTAGCACAGCGTATAGTCCCGACACATTAACAACCATCATTCGGGTCCCACTGGAGGTACGGATGAGACCAATTCAGGCGAAGTCGAAACTGTGGTCGAGTTGAGTGTCCTCGGAATATGTGACAGGACTTTTCATTTCGAGGGAAAGATTGCTTGGAAGGAACTGGAAACCGAAAGAGGATTGCTGCGGAGTCAAGAATGTTGGATTGTGCGAAGGAGTCCTCAGCTCACAATTCTGTAGCCCCGATTAATCTGTCTTAACTTTTCCCAAACGTTTCTCTTTGACGAGTAGCTGTATGGTGTTTAGGATGGCGATACTCACTGACGATGCCGACTACGATGTCTTAACTTTTGTCTATCACTTGACAGAAGACATCCTCATGGCGAGAAATCCCACTTCCCGAAAAGTGACTAAATACGTTAAGTTCAATCTACGCATTGCCTCCAGCCAACATTTCCTTCGAACTGGAAGTTGATGTGGCAACAAATCATAAAGGAATTCTTCGAAACCCCATTTTTTCTTCATATCCTCAAGGGATGTACAGTTTTCACAATACTCAAATTTGGGGAGTTCGCTTCTTCCAAGAATTGTAGGCCGGACTTGAAGTCGCTTTTGATCCGTCCCAGCGCCTTCAAAAGGAGCCACTTCACGTGTCCCTCCGAGTCCTGACGCGGTTCGGATCGTGGACCCCCGAAGTGCACGCTCGGCTTCAGCGCAGGTTTTGTTAAGATGCTATCAAAGTGAAGCGTAAGTTTCAATTGTACCACGCTATGGAAGTGTTTGTGATGTTCACGCTGTGGCGCCCTCGAGTCATTTGTGGCCCCATTTAGAGGGACTATCTACAGACCGAGCTGAGCACTGATTGGCCAGTCGTTTGGGATTGGGAGGGGCTGCTCTAGTTGCTGTGACCCAGAAGATGAGCCTCCCAGTTGCACCACTTGTGGGTCTGCAAGTGACCATGCGAATGCACGCATGATTTGGCCGGATCGGCCCCGTGGGCCTCAACACCGCTTGGCTCAACCGGCACCTTCACTTTGTCCAGTCTGGACAGAAAGCGGAAGGTCTAATTGCTTTCAGCAACTGCCAGTCGCTCTGTTTCCGCTGCCGGTTCTGGTGGACCGGGCAGATCGGGGCTCCGGGGCCGTGGGGCCTTGAGTGTAGCGGTCTTTTTGACCCCCCCTCCCACCGCTCCCTCTGGCAGCAGCAACAGCAACAGCAACAGCAACAGCAGCCACCGTTTAACCACATGTGGCCTCGGCGGTATCTGCTTGCTGAGGCGTGCACCTCGAACCCAACGGTACGGACGGATGGACGGCCGGCCGGGTGATGAGCAGAGCGGGGCCAAAGTCGACTTCCTCGGCCCGCAGAGAACGAGAGAGAACAGGGTGCACACACACACACACACGCACACCCACATAGACCGAGAGGTGATGATGGGAGATTTGACTTGCACACCATTGGGCGAAAAACGGGCAGGGGAGTCGGACTCTCGCCTCAACTGTCCGGCCGCCCCTGCTTCCGAGGGAGGCCTGGAGACTCACAGACCATGCGACCCGGCAACTCCTGACGTACACAGACACGCAGAAAGACACAGACAACACACATGCGGCGGGTCGGTGTGAAAGATGGTACATGCGATAGGGAAAATATGGTGTTGTTTGGCCGAACTGGCTGAGGAATTGCAATAAACGGCTCAACTTCCCACGACTGGACACCCCAGTTG